ACATTTGAAAGCAATGAAAAGTACAAAAAAGTCTTAGTGTGACATAATTGTTAATACTAATGTCTATTCCAGTCGATTCTATTGCCTGACAAAATTACTTTAAAGCAGTTCTGAGTAACTATAAATATAGTAATTTAATTCAAGACTTTTTAAAAATTGCTTGAGAAATCTGTTAACTATAGGACTCTCCCATATTTGCCCATCAATATTAGTTTAATAAGAAAAACAAATAGTTATAATTCTCTTAAGAAATATTTTCCATGATATTCTTTGCTTTTGACCTATAATCCTCCCATTGAGGTCATAGAAAACACATGTCTATAGAGAAATTAAAACCGTTAGACTTAATAATCATTATATGCATTTGAGAACCTTATTTTGCCATAATCACTACATTTTTAACATTGCTTATACTGTTTCATGCCACAAGTGTGTTCATCATTATGGGAAAATCAAGGAAAATTTGAATGTGTTCTTAACCCCCAGGTTACATACTCTAAAGCTCTACTCTTTTCTTTAAGTGTCTTCCTTTAAAACATGTAAACACATAGCTTAGACTGTACCATCACATTTTCTAGGTTGAAATAAATGTAAATCTTGTCTCTCTGTTTATCCATGGAATTACCTCGTGGATATACTTGTGGAATATAACACAGCCTTACTTATTGCAGATCATGACTGTATTCTCAAAATGATTATTTACATAATTACTTGTTGTAAAAACAAGAGCAAAACAAAGAAACTAGGTTTCACACTGGTAGTCTTTATCACTTTAGAAAAGCTTATGTGTGGATTTCTTTACAAGTTTAAATATGTTAATAATTTAGGAAAAATATTTCCCTATAGTTCCTGAAGAGAGAGCTATGATTGCAAGACTGGAAAATCATATATAATTGGATGACAAAGACGGTTGTCCCAAATATTCTCTTATGTTTTTGCTAAAGCTTTCACCAGCTTTTAAATTCTCCCTTATGTGATGAGTACTTGTAGTTTAAACATGCAAACACCAGATCAGAAACATTGAGGTTTAGTGCAGAGGTCTCCAGAACTGCCATGATTACTGCTGACATTATATAAGGTGATTTTAAAGGTATACTAATAGTTAGTACTTTAATAGATACACATTTATTTTAAGTGTATTAGGAAAAAATATAACTAGCAAATCAACCCTATTACTTTAAAGGTATTCTTCCTTGGATCAAATTTCCTTTTTATATAAATTTAAGTTTAAAATATGAATGCAACTTCTGATCAAGATAGAGGCATAGGTAGGCATGCTTTGCCTCTTCATGCAACCACAGAGATAATTACAACTAAACTTCAAAAAAATAGCACCCAGAAGTGTCAGAAAATTGAACTGTATGGAAGTACAACAACCAAAGATTTAAAGAAGCCACATTCATCCAGGCAAGTAGGGTGCACGGAGATGCTAGACAGGTGAAGAGGTGAGAGGTGGTGTGGCATGGAGAGGTGCGGTGGTGACAGAATGGATGGTCCCATATTCTTGTGTCATGGGTAAAAATCGGGAGGGATACCTTGGGAGTGAGCAATCCCAGCCCCAGGCCAAACAGCACAGCCCAGGGTTCCAGCACCAGGAAGATAAATCCCTATAATTTCTGGCTGTAAAAACCAGTGGAGGTTTGGGGGGCAGAAGAAACTGCCACATTTTCTGGAGACTCTGCTTAAAGTGCTTGCACAGTCTTAGAACATACGCAAATCCACCCACTCTGAGATTCAGCACCAGGGCAACAGCTGGAAGGGTGCCAGTCACATACGGGGAGTGGATGAAGTGGCTGGAAATGGGGTGAGTACCAGGCAAACTTCCAGAAGCCAAGCAGCAGTATTGTCCCTTCTCTGAGCCCTGTGTCCCCCTACCCGACAGGGCCACAATTTGGTGAAGTGAGTTACCCTACCCTGGTGATTATCTAAGGCTCCACCCCACACAATTTACAGGTGCCTTTTCTGTAATAGGCCATGGTACTAAGACAGGGAGTCAAAGCGGTTCTACCTAATACACAGAAATAAATACATGGAGGGTGCCAAATTGAGGAGACAAAGAAATATGGCCCAAATGAAAGAACCCCCTAAAAAGAACTAAACAAAATGGAGATAAACAACCTTTCAGATGCAGAAAGTTCAAAAACACTGGTGATCAGGGTGCTCAAAGAATTCATTGAGTGCAGCAACAAAATAAAGGAAGAAATGAAGGTTACACTAAGTGAAATAAAGAAAAATCCACAGGGAACCTGCAGTGAAGGGGAGGAAGCTGGGATTCAAATCAATGATTTAGAACACAAGGAAGAAACAAGCATTCAACCAGAGTAGCAAGAAGAAGCAAGAATTAAAAAAAAAACAACAAACAAACAAACCCAATGATAAGTGTAAGAAGCCTTTGGGACATCTCCAAATATACCAACATCCAAATCTAGGAGAAGAGTAAGAGCAAGAAATTGAAAACTTATTTGAGAAAACAATGAATGAAAACTTCCATAATTTGGTGAAGGAAATAGACATACAAGTCCAGGAATTATAGAGAATCCCAAACAAGATTTCGGCAAAGAGACCCACTCCAAGACACATGATAATTAAAATGCCAAATGTTAAAGATAAATAGAGAATCTTAAAAGCAGCAGGAGGAAAGCAGAGAGTTGCCTACAATGCAGTTCCCATAAGACTGTCAGCTGATTTCTCAAAAGAAATTTTCAGGCAAGAAGGGACTGGCAAGAGGTACTCAAAGTTATGAAAAGCAAGGACCTACAAGCTAGACTACTCTATCCAGCAAAGTTATCATTTTCCTTGCATTAGAGTTCCCAGACAAGGTAAAGCTAAGGGAGTTCATCATCACCAAGCCATTTTTACATGAAATGTTAAAGGGACTTATTTAAGAAAAAGAAGATCCAAACTATGAACATTAAAATGGTAACAAATTCAGAACTATCAACAACTGAATCTAAAAAAACTAAGCAAACAACCGGAACAGGAGCAAAATCATAGATCCTCAGATAATTTGGAGGGTTATCAGCAGCAAGGGTAAGTAGGGGGAAATGGGGTAAAAGGCACAGGGATTAAGAAGGATGACTGGTAGGTACAAAATAGACAGGGGTATGTCAAGAACAGTATAGGAAATGAGTAGCCAAAGAACTTATATGTATGACACATGGACATGAACTAAGGGGGGGGGGGCAATTGCTGGAGGGAAGGGAGGTACAAGGTAGAGGGGACAAAGGAGGGAAAATTGGGACAACTTTAATAGCATAATCAATAAAATATACTAAAAATGTGAATTCATTTAAAGAAAATATTAGGTAAATTTAGCGTAGGTGCTTCTGACAAAAGTCACGATGGAGGTGAGGGAATCTCTGGTGATTGGAAAAGTGAAGTGGAAAGGTTGGGATCAGGTAACAGTGGTTCTGGTTCTAGCTCTGTCACTAACTAGCTGACAAGCAGACCTCTGTGGGCATGTATTCCTTGTTTGTAAAATGTTTTTGGGGTCACTTCTAAGGTCTACCCTAGCACCACTATTCTATGATGCTTTGTTCTCTCGTCCAAATGTCATTATAAGGAACACCAATCTCTGTAAAACAAAAATAAGCATTCTAAGCCTTAACATAGGATATGCTCAGTTATACCAGTCAGGAAAATTAGTGGACCTAATGTGGAATTTTTTGAGGTGAAAATAAAAAAATATCTACTACTGGTCGATTTTGCTTAGCAACTTCAGTTTTTTTTGCCCAGGGGAGGGATTTCAAGTAACTTCGGATTCTCTTATCACTATGATAGCCCAGTAATGGAGAGTTTTACCTGCCATATTTCACATGTCTTATGTCATTCTAACCTGGGAGTAAGAGGCCTGGATGTCCATGATGTAGTCAGATGAGGGAGTTAAGTAAAGCCAGTCTTGCAAGAAAAATATACGTCTCTTAGATGGAGGAAAAGATAGATGAACGTTATCTTAAGATAAAGAGGTGTTTTTAGAAACAGGTAGAGCCTGAAGCTTCATGATAACTTAAAATAGCTTGTCTGGTTTCTGGTTTTAATTTTACACTCTGGAAATAGAAAACACGTTAACCCATTACCCATTTTCAGGGGTAATAAAATTGGGACCCTAAATTAGTGCTATGCATCTCTATTAAACCGTCTTGAATTAGTTCTCTTCTCAATGACTTGAGAGTACAAGTTCAAATCAAAACCTAACTCTGAATGCTAAAAAGCATTCAATGTAGAAAATCTCTATGAAGTAATATTTTTAGGGCCAGGTTTTCAGTTTTCTGACATAATCTCTATAGTTTGAAGGGTAAACTACCTTTTCCTTGCATTAGAGTTGCTGGTCCCTTTTTGTTAGAAGATCCCCAGCCTTCCAGGGAGGAATGTCTTGCTAAAGGTTACCTATCATGTCTTCTGACCTAGCCTAGAAAGAAATTAGATTAACCAGTTAGATTGTGAGGTGAAAAGAGAAGAAGAAGATGATGGTGGTGGTGGTGATGATAAACTGTGACTATTTGAACTAAGCATTTTGGAAATTATCTAATTAAAAACTAAAGTACTTTTATTGTCTATTGGGAATACTACTAATTACACCTATTTAACCTATTCAGCTTAACAAACCAATGAAAAAACAGCAATGAAACCACTACAATCTATTTTTTTGTGGAGATATCTCTGCTTGTTTAAAAAAAATAGAAAAGATGCCATGGGTGAAAATTTTACCTATGATCTCTGAAGGGGCATATTTGTAGAGCATATCTAAACATACAACCCATAAATATAGGGACTGGTTCTCTGGAATCCCAATAATTCCATTTGTTGCGATTTGAAAAGCCTCTTGAAAATGTGGCTTCCCAATTCCCCAGCTTTTTCAACTCTTGTTAAAAATATCCATAGACATGCATTCGTGATCTGTGATACTAATTTGATTCCCGTCATCCTCAGTTACAGCGAGTCTCCATCACTGTGGGAACAACCAGGCACGCTATGTGGATCTGCTTCTGACTTTGGACCAATCATTGATGATTCAGTCTCCTCCGCAGAAGTGCAGCCAGTCTTTGTCTGGTCTCATTTACTGAAGATGCCCGACCCCTGGGAGGATGTGGCTGGAGGACAGTGGGCAAACCTGAGCTGTTGGCCCTCTTGGGCTGAGCTGAGGGTGGAGAAGGGGTGTGTTTCAACGCTCCGTGCAGGCTGGGGATTTTGATTCCTTTTTCAGAGTTCAGTCTCGCACTGCTTCTCTCTCCCTGATTACTGACTGCTGCAGCAGAGGTGGTTAGGCTGCCCTGGCTGAGGAAACACGGGGACAACGGTAAACTTCCACTGAGCTTCCTGAGCTCCAGGAGCTGTTCTCTGGCTTGACTCAGAGCCTCTGTCAGTTCAAAACGCTCTTCACACTCTCTGCGTACTGTTTCCTGAAGAAAAGTGTTCTGAAATGAGAAAAAGGGGGGAAAAGCATCCCTAGCTTTAACGGTGTACCTATAGATAGTTCTTGGTAATATATATTGAGAACTAAACTAGAAATCGGAGGTCTGTGTTCTTTGACTATCCTTGTGGCTACTCAACCACATGGGACAGAAAAGTAAAAAATACAAATGATATGTAAGACTGGAGAGGACTTAAAGAGAACATTTGATTCAACTTTTGCAGTTAGCTGACGAGTAACCAAGAGTCAAGGTCACTCAGATGGTAGTGGTGGGGCTGGGGCTGGAACCTAGAACTTTTTTTTTTCATATTTTATTTTATTTTTTTAATTGTTCTTCAATTACAATTGCCCCAATTTTTCCCTATTACTCTCCCCTGCCCTACCCACCCTCACCTCCCACATTCAATCTTCCCCCTAACCATTGTCTTTGTCTATGGGTTCCTTAAACATGAAAATAAAACTCAATCCATTTACTAAAATTAAATTCAGATCTCAAAGGAAAAAACTAGTGCTCTACAGAAAACATCCATAAAGCTAATCACTTAAAAACTATTTCTGACAAGGGACACTCCACTAGAAGAGGAAGTAAAAAGGTGAAATGAACCCAAAGATGTCCCCACGGCAGATATAACAAAAGCAAAGTGCCTGCCAATTCCGCACGGAACTTTGGAAGGGCTGCTGACCATCCCAGTCAGGACCCTGACGCTCCGGAACTCATCCTTCTTGAAGGCGATTAGCTTCCAGACAAAAAGGATGAATTATCTTTCTTCAATTATTTCCCAAACTGGAAGGACCTTGGAACTGACAGCAGGATCCAAAGTTAGGAGTTCTTTTTGTCTGTTATGCAAACACTATGAAATCTCAGGTGAATCCCATAATATCTGCATATTCTCTGTCACCATTATCTCCTCCTTTAAAATTAAGATTATAATTCAGTTTTGTCGAAGAAGTAGTTCATATATTAACATTTATTCAACCACGGAGTAAAAAAAAAAGTGGAAATAGAACACATCAAGTTTAGGGGATTACTATTTCAGGGGTGCAGTGCATGTGACAGGCGTGGCCAGAATACACATGGGTATGGCCAGAATCAGTAAGACATATTAGTGGAAAATTCCATCATATGTGGGAAAGAATCATTCACTTGTGGTCAGATTGCATTCAGCAATTTAGGTAAAATATTTGTCCTTTTTAGTTGTCTTTCTGGAAGGTTGTATTGTTGCAGAATTTTAATGTGTTTTTATTGAACAACCTGGGAACATGTGTAAAATGTGCTCAGTAAACTTGAAAATCATGGGCAAGCATCAGAATAATCAGTGAAGCTATAGTGTTCTAACTGTATTAGTCAAAGTTATCATCGACCATATTTTAGAATGGTAATATAGTATCACTGGGTCGCAGCTGAACTAAGTCAAGATGCAAAGGGAGGCAGGAGACAGGTGAGGAAGGAGCTGTAGGGTTTCCCAGGCAGAGTGGGCAGTGAGCGTAAGCAGCTGGCAGTGAGAGAGGGAGAGGCGCGTCTTGGGATGACACGTGGCTTAGAATGACTCCAGTGCAGGGTACACAAGGGGAGGAGAGAGCGGGACTGAGGCAGGGAGGAGTGAGCAGGGTCAGACCAAGGTTGGCTTTGGTAACGTGCTAATACTAGAGTTTTAACTTAATTCTGAAGAGCATAAGGTGTCACCAAAAGGTTGATTTTAAGCAGGGGGCTGGCATGGTCCAATTTAGATCCTTTTGCCAGCTTGGTGGAAAATGGCATTTAGTGGGGCAAGAAGAGAGGAAAGGAGGATAGAAGGAGACCAAAATTTTCATGGAGACGGTTTCTACCCTGAGTGGTCCTTGGTTAGGTTGATCCAGGGGAGGGAGAACTAGTGTTCCTGGGTCCTTAAGCCGTGCCATTTGGTAGACAGCATTCTCTTTACACATGTCTACAGCATTTTCAGATGAAGGTCACTTTGAGTGGGCTTAAAAATATGGCTCAATTGTACTCCCACTGGGTAAGTAAATGTCAAAATAAAAATATAAACTGGCTCACCATCTGCTTGAAATTTTTAATATGGCCAATTTTCTCCACTCTTTAAATGTAAGGGTGGTTTATTTTTATGTTTGTTTTCATTTTTACCCTTAGAGACAGCTGGATTGCTTTCAACAGTGGAAGAAGCAAGAGAAAGCTCTGCTGGGTAACTTGATGATTCTGAAGGTGAGAATCCTATTTGTGATGAAAATCAGCTGTATTTGGCATAATGTGCGGGGGAATATACTAGGAAAGCGAGCCCTCAGGGAAGAATAAGCACAGATGGGTGTCTTTGTGCTTTATACCCAAAGAGGTCTGAACCAGTCAGATCACAGTTTACACCAACTCAAACTAGGTATATCCTGGGGTGAGTAGATGGTCAGCCAGCTGGGTGGGGAGCTGAGGTGAAAGGAGACTCAGTGGAAAAGGTGTGGAAACCGGGAAGACGAGTAGGAGTTAGCAAAGGACGTGCCCAAATTCCACTTAAGGCTTCTGCTCAACTAATCTGATCAGCCCAAAACACTGCAGAAAAACAGTGGAAATTGTCCTTTGGAAGGCAGAAATAGGAATCTGAAGAGATTTCCAGGAAAGAAATATAAAGGATGTCCAACAAATTGTTCCTGAAACTGTATTTCTATGCTTGCAAACATAAAGAACACTGGGAAATAATGATGGCAGACATTCCATAACAGAGGTAGAAACAGGGAAATAATCCTTGGGCCGAGCTCTCTCAAGAGCAGATTTTCAGAATGTGGAGGAAGAGTACATGAAGACATTATGTTTGTGATTTACCTTCCTAAGTCAATAATCTAACACTTACTAGGATTTCATTAGTACTAATGAAACAACTAAAACCATGTCTCCATGCTTTTTCTCCTTCTGCCAATTTGCTGGCATCGGTACTCTGTGTCAGGGCTGACTGTCTCCAATGTGTAGAGGACAGTCTTGCCTAAATCTTCCCCTTCGGCTGGACGCTCACTCGGTCTGAGCCTCGTGCCCCAAGGCTAAGGTTCCCAGGCTGTCAGTTCAGCTGCCCTCCCTTGCTAACCACAACCCTGGGGAGAGTCCCTGCCCCCTAAAAGCTTCCCTGATATCCTCCTGCTCCCCATGGAGCCAGTGATTTGAGAATCTCCATTTATCCCATACTCTTTCGAAGAGACTCAGATTCCAATTTTCTTTGGTCCCAAAGTTGAGAACCCCTAATTTGTTAATTTACTAACTGCTGCTTTGGTTTCTCAGAAATGGAATTACCAAAGAAATGTATGCCATTTTCTCTATACCAATTAAGTATGCAAATGCAGTTAATGCATAGCCTAAAACTAAGGAAATCCCTCTCACAAAAAAGCTATTTGTATTTGCAATTGCCATATATTCCTGATATTTAATCTTAGCATTTATAGAAGTTCATCATTGCCAAGTTTGTAAACTTTCCTAAATAGTTGGGTTTTCCTTCTTTTTTTTAAAAAAATAGATTTTACATTTGGAAACCCCTAACAGCTTTAAAGTCATCCATTATCGCAAAAATGTTTGGAAGTGGATGAGAAGTAAAACCCTGGCCCTTCTCTTCCTACTTGACAGTGGTGCCCACTGTACGTAGTTGGGAAAATTCTTCCTTCACTTCTTCCTCTCACCTCCTTGTGCCTGTAATCCAATAGAGAAACATGTGTACTCTCTTTATTTGATTTTTAAACAAGAACAGAGCCAAGATGTCAAGAGATGGTCAGGTGAACCAACAAAAATAGCTGTTCTAAAGAAAGCAAATACACATTTACAACCCATTAGCCACAATTTTGATATCCAAAAAGCTCTGAAAACAAACATTCATGTAACTCATAACATTTGGTACTATTGATAAAATCTGACTGGACTGACAGTCTTTATTTATTTCACTCAGTGGGGCCATCCCTGTGCTTCACTGCAGAGGATACTAATCCTCTAAATACTAATACTAAATACTAATACTAAATACTAATGCCATTGCCTGGGAGGGGCTGCCCTTCGATCTCTGGCGGGTGTGGACTTTACTAACTTACTGAAATTCAATATGATTTGAATCGCAAAACTTACCTGAAACCAAAGTTTTTGTAGAGAGGATTGTGGCCCTATATAAGTCCCATGCTCCCTTTTAAAAATACTTTCTTTCCTCAGGATCCTTGTTGGTATTCTCCTCCCGCTTTCCTCCTGCCTCAACAGATGTTCCTTCTCTGTCACCATGGCTGGCATCTCCTGCTCCCAGCTTCTAAAAGTTGGAATGCCTGTTCTCAACTCTCTTCTCTATTGTCTCATTCCCAGGGTGATCTCATTTAGTCCCAAGGCTTAAATACCGGCTACATGTGAATGTCTCCAAAATCAGTCTCTCTATTCATCCTTCCTCCTACCCATTCGAAACCTAAATTTGGATATGTAATAGACATATTAAGATTAACATGTTGCAAACCAAATTCTTGATCTCCTCCCCACTGACGTTCCTTTACTAGTGTTCCCTGTTTTAGTAAATCGCAGTGTGGTTCACTTTCTGAGATTCCAAACTTTGGAGTTGTCCTTGACTCCGCCTATGTTTCCCCTGCATCCAACCCACCGGCAGTTTCTGTCGTCTCTACCTTGAAAACGTATTCCTACTCTGGCCTCGCTCTCCTCCTTCACTGCTATGACCCTCTGTGTTTTTCTAGACCTTTTCAAGAGTCTTGTCATAGGTCTCCTGACCTTCATTTTGCCCTCCCTCAACCCATTTTCCACACAGCAGTCAGCTGTACTCTAAAAATAAGTTAGATCATGTCACTCTCTAGAGTTGTTCATAGTATTTTCTTACAATCCTTTATATTTCTGAGGTATCAGTTTTTACTTCTCATCTTTCATTTCTGCTTTTATTTATTTGGGTCCTTTCTTTTCTTTCTTGATGAATCTGGTTAAAGTTTAATCAATTTTGCTTATCTTTTCAAAGAACCAGCTCCTGGATTCATTGATTTTTTGAATTTTTTAGTCTCTCTGTC